GGCTCTCGGGCAGCCTTTTCCCCCTGCGACGCCTGGTTACAAACCGTAGCGAACAGTAATTAACTTGTCTTCACAATTAACCACAAATACTAGTGCCTATGCGCAGTGCTGCTCGCTCTGCTGGCTCGCTCTGCTCACGCTCCAACCGCACCGGCCGTGGCGTTCGTCACCGTCTTAGCCTCAATGGAATTAGTCCGGTGTAAAAAAAAGATACAGAAAACAAAAAGACCTCTGGGATTCACCATGCGTTGCAAGATTCGGTGAATGGTGAAGGATTTGTAAGTCTCTGAATGTGCCAAGCCTGAAATTTAGACTCTACCCCGCCATGATATCGTTCAAGTGATATCTCCGCGGGGAACATCTGGCTTGCTGCGGTTGTCCTGGTGGCACATGAGAGCGAGGATCTGCTCAGGCTTTTCCCAGTTTATCCATTGGCAGAGACATTTGCCCAACTCCCGCTGTCGTGAAATGTGGGAATTGTTTTTATCTTTTCCATTTGTAGGCTTCCTGGTAGATACGCAGATACCAGTAGGATATTTGCATGAGCGGATGGCAGCGAGAAATACCTGAGCTTGCTTTGCTCAGTGAGCTTCTATGGATCCTTTAGAAGTAGTCCATGATCTGACAGGAAATTACAGAGCAGAGCTTAAAAAAACACCTTATTACAAACAAACAAACAAAAATACCTAAACCTACAGGGCAGAACACAGCCTTGTACTTGCAATCCACTTTACAGGCAAAGGGAAATCTCTCTCTTCTATTGCTTGGAGTCTGCTTTGCTTTCATTAATCTGGGCAGTGTTGGTGCTCAGCCATAACCCTTGTTTAGGACCCAAAGTTGTATAAATGACCATACTGCAGTCTGCGATGACACAGGCCAGTAGCAAGAGAGCTCCTCTAGAGCCGCCATGTGACCACCAAAGTGCTGTGCGAGAAAGCAAGTGCAGGCAACGCCTCCAAAAGCCCCCACTATAGATGACAGAACGTGGCTTCGTGCTTCAGTGCAGTGAAGAAGAGGAGCCCCGGAGGAGTCTTTCCTACTGCACTGGGTTGAAAACGTTCTGTAGAGGCCGGGCAGGAGCAGCCACAGCAGAGTAGGCTGAGAAAATGCTTCTGGCAGGTGGTGATGCTGGAGACTCCTCCACGCTGGTGGAGACAAGCTGGGGGGAGGCTTTGAGTCCGCGTTGGGCTGTGAGTGGCCAGTATGAGTGGCAGGATGGGTAGAAACATAGCGGGAGGGTTTCTGCAGGGTCTGTGGTTCAGCTACTGGCACCAGTGACGTGGCTTTTGTTCCCTGCGGGGCCGAGGAGGCCTGGTGCAGGTGGGAAGGCAGGTGCAAGGCTCTATGCTCACACTGCTTACAGGAACACTGGGAGCATGAACGCGGGTGGTGAAAGGACTGCAAATGGCCGTTGCGGCCCTCATGTCCTAGCGGCACTGAGAAGGGCTGATTTGTGAGAACAGGTGGGAGTGAGAGGGAAGAGACCTTTGCTTTGCAGTGACAGCACCAGAGAAAGCCACAAGACACACATATGATCTCAGGTGGTTTTGCTAAGTCTTGGAGCACTCTCTTCCCAGCCCAGGCCCCTGTACAGCCTCTGTCAATCAACCTCAGGCTTGGCTTGTGTCCTCTTCTGCTAATTCCTCACTGGGACCTCCTCCTGCCTCCTGCATCAGCCTTTCCAACCCCCATCCCAAACACACCTCACTTACCCTGACTCACAGCACTGCCATCCCACACCTGTGTATTCTGCACGTGCATTTTCAGTGCAACCTGCTATGCTGGGAGTGACAGTCCCCGCCAACTGTGTGTCACGCTAGGTGACAGGCAGAGGCTGCCAAACTCAGGATACCTGGGATTTTCTCCCTCCCTCCTGCCCAGCCAGCCCTGACTCTTTCTGCCTGGCTCAGGGACATCCAGAAAAGAGCTGACACTGGCTAGACACGAGCATACAGTCTTCAGCAAAGCTGTGCCTCTTTCGGCTCCTGGGTCTTGTAACTTCCCTCCCTGTCACTGCCAGGGGAAGGTAAATAAGCAGCTTCTCATCCCAACACAAGGAAAGCACATTGATAAGGAGGAAGAAGTGTAAGATAAAGATAAAGAGGAAGGCGTAAGAGCTGAGAGAGGGAGGAAACAGCCTGAAGAGGAAGATTCAAGTATTTAAGGATTGAAAGAGAGACAGAAAGCATCAAGAGCAGAGAAAGTGAGACGCAGAAAGGAAGCAAGCAAGCTGTGGAGGGCTTAAAGGGAATGAGGTCAGAAGCACAGGAGAGGAGGACATGGAAGCTGGGAAGGCAATAGTAAGGCAGAGGAGCAGTGCAGGCTGAGACTGCTGGAGAAGCAGACACAGCCGCTTAATTGAGGAGGAGGTATCTCTTGTGTTCCCACCATCAGTGGAGACCCAGGGAGACACCCCGGCCCAGTGCTTCTCAGTGCACGGCTCTTTGCTCTCCTCCAAGATCCTGAAGGCCCCCTGCCGAGTGGGGCTGTCCCTGGGGGAGCTCCTGGCAGGGACCCTCCATGGCACCATCTTCCCTGCACTCCCACAGCAGAAGGGCTGTGCTGTGAGGGAAGGGTTCGGCCAGGACCTGCTTGGTGCTGGTGGAGAGAGACCGCTGCCATGGGATGAGCTGGGGTGACTCGGGACAGCTAGGTTTGATCTGCACAGCATCAAAAGCATGGCTTTCGATTTTAGTGCGGGGCAGGAAACATGCGCCCTCTGCAGTGGGAACATGTTTTTTTCCTCTGGGTTTTGCTTCTTTTGGAAAACACAGCTATTTTCCCCTAGTACTTTGATGCTTCTCAAATAGATGCTACAGCCCAAGAACTGATTCTCTGTCCTCCTACCTGTCACTTCCCCTGTCAGCCCATCACTTCTTCCATCTATCCACTTCCAAGCTGCCATTTCCCCTTGGGAAGACACAGCAAGAAAGAGGGATAAAATGCTGGGCCACCATGTCCTCAGATCAAACAGCTGCCTTCCCACCTACTGAGGACCCAAGAGAAATCTCTGCTGCCATCACCTGAAGACATTGCATGCACTGACTCCACCATCTCTCCTGGAGTCTCTCTTTGCCATGTCTCTAAGTGATAAAAAACAGGACCACAGCATGCCCCACACCTCTCACCTCTGAAGCCCTCCTGTCCCCAGAAATCCTTCGCTCACCTCTCCTCCATCCCTATTTCCCCCAGGCAAGACACACAGCTGAGACACAGAAACGAGAGAAAGGAAGATGACAGGCAGTTCGCTGTGCGAAAAACAAACCAAGAACGAGGACACTCTGGGAGGGATGGGGGAGACGCCTTTGGTCCCTCTCTGGCACACACACACACACACACAGAGGCCCTCATGCTCGCGTCCTCTCACGAACACAGAGGGTGAGCCATGTGCTTCAGAGACAGGCCCGTGGTAGGGTCAAGGGTAGCAGGGGCGGGTTATCATATCCAGAGACACCGGGTGACAGCAGGGAGCTGGGGTGGAGTGTGATTCACAGGTTACTTTCGTGGTTTTCCTCTGTCTCGACAGTCATGGGGGGCAGCCCTCCGTTGTCATTCAGCCGCTTGGCCCTGTAGGTCTCATAGTGGATATTGTGGGTCACTTCTTTTAGGTCCTGAAGGTGGGTCCTGCAGGGGGCAAAGTGATGATGGGGTTGGAAGGAGAGTACAATGACCAATATCAGCACAGTCAGTATCAATTTTCTGATGATCATTTTCTTCCCCGAGATAAATGGAAGGTTTCTTTGGTCAGTCTGGCTAACGAGCGTGCCCCTATTCCTGCATGGATGACATGGGTCCCATAGCTGGAGCATCAGCATTCCAGAACATGTACACATGACGCAGGATATGAGCTGAAGTCTCTGGCTGGGCTTGCCACTGTCCTGCCCTCTCACACCTCTGCCAGTGGGACAGCCACTGGTCACCCTGGTGTGACAGAGCAGACATGGACTTATCTCATCTGAAGTGATGGTAAGACAAGGAAGAACCAGGAGGGTGTATCAGGTCCACAGGTGACCCTGGATCTGCAGCTCTTCTACAGAATTTGGGGCAGATATCACTTATGCTGAGACAACTTCATGCAACACAGTCAAAAAAAAGACAGGACAATGAAAGCTGAATGGAATGTGGAACTTTTCACTTCCAGGTCATATATTCCAGCACACCCCTCAACCTGGTAGGACACATGGTCTAGGATATAGTAGTGGCCTCTTTCTCACTGACTCCAGCCCATAACTGTTGTCAGCAACAAATAAAGTTGCTGCAACCTAATATGGGAGATAGTAGTACCCTGCTTTTCTCCAAATGTCCACCTCATACGTGAAAACTAGCACCTACCTGAAATAGTCACTAAAAGAGATGCTAGAGTATCTACCCTTTAACTCGGTCCAACCCTACCCCACGTAAGCTTTCACTGCCTGAAATGTACTTCACTTTCCTTTCCATAACGACTATTTCACACCAAGAGGGATTACATGCTCAGGAAGACTCCCTGCTCATCAAGAGCAAACTCATGCATGACCATGGCCTTACCTGATGACAAAATCTCGAAGTAGGGCAAATTCACAGTGAGTGAGGTTTTCCACTGAAAAGAAAGTAAGCAATTGTTATGTCTGATTTTTTTTCAGCAGTCCCTTTGTGGTTACAGAGCATGAGAACATCATTGCCATGGGGCAAGTTCTGGGAGAGCAGAGCCTGCATACTTCAGAAAGGGCACACAGTTGTCTGGACACTAGGCCGTCAGGCATTGAGGAGACACACTAAGAGGTGCTGAGCAGTCCCCAGAATTTTCATTTGAAAACTAAGGCAGTCTCAGGAGCTCAGCTTCACACACAGCGGTGTTCAGAGTGGCTCTAGCTTCTGCTGGTTGGTGGTAATGGTACCACATTGACCATGGCAGTTACCTATGCCAAAAAAGCTATTTAAGAACTCTCCTCTTGCTTGGTTTCAAAAGCTTTATTGCAAAAGGGATGGGAAGGTAGCCATGGGACATGTTATCTGGACCACTGTCTGCAAGGGGACCTGCAGAGATACTTCCAGCTCCCAGATGCAAGAGGATTTTTACCTTCAATGATTCCCCAAGGTGTTTTCCTGCCCAGGACTCTTTTGCCATTCACTTGGTACTCCTTGTCACTGCCCACTACGGCAAAGGGCATGCTTTCCTGCTGGGGAGAGACATGTGGAGAGACCTACTGAACCCATAACAGACAGCATCACCATCGCTGTTCCCCATCCACCTTTTGTCCTCTCAGCAGCACTTCCCTGGCTGTCTTCCTCACCCATCAGTGCTACCTCTAGCATTTTGGACCCCTGCTTTACAGGTGTCCTTGCACCCCCAGAGCTTAATGGTTACCTTTCAGCAGTGCCAACAGCTGCGGAGCAGGAGGCAGAGTTTTTCTGCACCCATCTCCAACATTTCTGAAGAGGGGAAAGACTGAGAAGAAGTACCTTGGTGTAACCAAGAGAAGGTCTGTCATTGCAGAGCTGCTCATATGTATTTTTGGTGAGTTGTTTTCCCCAAGTTTGTAGTTCTTCACCAGAAGGAGAGGACTCAAGATAATCCTCCCCAAAAAGACACATGAGCATTCAACAAATTTAATGACAGAAATGATTGCACTGAGGAAGGCCAGAAATGGGCTAGTGGTGCTGCTTTCCTGGGAAGTGGGATAGTAGGTGAGGATACTGGGGACCGAGATATCTCTAAGCACAGGGAGAAACCATCCGTTTCCAGAGTACGGGGTGCAGGAGACTCAGCTGTCCATAAGGTTGTGCAGATGTTCATAGATTTATTCTGCTTTATAAATGTCTCTATGCTTGGGAAGAGACTGCAATTACCACAAGAATGGAGATCAAAAAGCAGTTTATTTCTTACATGTGAGAATTTCAAAACCTAGGGCAATGATGCTGAAGTGCAGAACAAAATGTGTTGCCTTCCTCAAAACCAGTAACAGTTTGGACATGGAGCAAAACCTGTGCAATCTTCTCCAGAATGTGATGTATTGCTGAATGGGAAGTGATTAGGATAGGTGTCATGGGTTTGAGTCTGACTGGGATTTTTTTTGTAAAAAAAGGTGCGAGTAAACTCATGCAAAAGTTCGAGAGCCTCCTCCACCCCCAGGTAGAGTTGGACCTGCCTCTGGCCAGGGCCAGGCCAATCAGCGCCTCTGCCATCAAGGTATTTTAGAGGAAACCCCATTGTTCTTTCTTTCTCTTTAATTTTTTTCTTGTGTTTAGCTGCCCTGTCTTTAATGTTGGGGAGTTTTTTTCTCTTGGAGGAGGGGGAGGTGAGAGGAGAACAAAGGAACATCGTCCTGAGAAGAAAGAGAGGGAGAAGAGTCCCTGAGAAGAAAGAGAGGGAGAAGAGTCCCTGAGGAGAAAGAGGGGGAGAAGTGTCTCTGAAGAGAAGCAGAAGAAAGCTGCTGGAGCAGGACCTTTCCCTGGAGCCCTGTGGTGGCTGAGACGGTAGGAAGGTGATTGCCTGCCAGTTGAGGAGACTGACGGTGGTGAGAGCATCCAGCATGCATCAGTATATGCAGAGCCCCATGCGAGAGGGGAGAGAGACCGAGTATCAGCAGGAGATGCACCCAAAGCAATCCGTGGCCCTGAGAGACTCACAAGGAGGAAGAGGATTGCGTCCCATGAGGTGGACACCAAGCAGCAGGAAGGAGAGACTGTGAGGAGCTCTCTTTCTCAAGGAGGAGCTGCCATGGACGATGGGAAGTGGCCAGATGGACTCCACCTCCCACCCCCTGCTCCCATTGCACAGATGAGGGAGAATGAGGTAGCCAGGAAGCTGGGAGGGGTGGGGGGCCAAAGAGGGGTGGTGAATTAAATCTATGTTTTTCTCCCCAAGTCGCTCTGGTTCTTTACCCATCATCTTAAATGTTAGATTATTACTTTCCCTATCCTTGATCTCAAACCCTTGAGCCTTTTTAGCTGAAATTGTCTCCCTCCACATCATTGTGGAAATGAGGGTAGCAGGAGGAGTGAGCTGAAGACCGTGTGGTTCTTTGTCCCAGTCGACTTGAACCACGGCAACAGAGAAGGTGAGAATTTCTGTTGGGACAGTGACAGCTGGGGGAGTTGAAAGGGCAAGTGTCAGGCTTTAATGCAAAACTCCTGAAGTTTCCTGAGGACTGCCATGGAGGCCCATCCATTTTCATTAATAACCTAGCCACAAAAATGATCAGTGAGATAATTAAATGCTCTATCACCACAAGGCCAAGAGTTGTAGTCAGTACAAAGGCAGATTGGGTTATTATGTGGAAAGATGTAAGTTTGAGGCACAAAGAGCAGTATTTAGGGAACAACATCAAGAATTTCTGCTACAGCTTCAAAGCTCATGAGCAAGCAGCAACTGAATAGGAGGAAGGACCCCATGTGCTAGTCAGTCACAAGATGACCACGAGCCCCCAGTGTGATGTAGTTGTTTAAAAAACACATGTGGTCCATGGGCTTAGCGATTCAGGTCTCAGAAGAGACAGAGGAGAGTAGGTGCCAGCACCACTGCTAAAAAAACAAATGAAACTGGATCAGGCACAGAAGAAAGTGACCATGAGCATGGACTGCTGAGGAGTGGGAAGCTCATCCAAGGGAACATGTCTCCTTTAGCTAACCAGAAGGTCAGCAAAGGATAGCATTGTTCTCTGTAAATGCCTTGAGTGATGGACAAGATCACTAGGTAGGAGAACTGCTTGAATCAGTGTCGGCACAAGGACACAAATATAATCCTGGGTGCAACCTGGCCATGAAACACAAGCTGGAAATTAGGAGATAATTTCTAATGCTCTGAGAAGGAAAGGATGGGACAAGCCTACTCACAGAGGCTGAGGGAGCAAAGAACTGGACTGCTTTTCCCATCAAGTTTGGTCAGCATATGAGAGGGCTTATGGAGCAGTTGTTTGGGATGGAAACAGGACAGCAGCCACACACTAGACCTCTTTGGTCCTTACTAGTGAGCCAAACAGAGCATTCAGTAAGAGGAGGTGAAACCTAATCCCTCCTTACTCAGCCTTCATAGCACCCTGTAGGAATGATGGGGACAAATTAAGCCAGGAAGGAGGAACGCCCATCCCTTACATCCATTGCTTCTTTTATTCACAGACCATGAAGCACTTAAGACCTAGTGACACATGCCTGTTTTACACTCATTAAATATGACCAGCTCTCATCCTCTGGTCCCCTCCTACAATAAAATGTTTCTTACCCTGATTTTGTCGTTCTCTGTTTTATCCTCCAAGTCCTCATCGAATTCTTTCTGGGGATAAAACTCAATTCCATTTACTTCTAGCTCTTTGCGCACCTGAGCAGAAAGAGAGTTTGAGCACAAAGCAACACAAACCTGAAGGGAAGGCAGGTGGGATGGTCAGGCAGACACATCTGGGACATCCTTCCAGCAGGCAGGGGCTGGAGGGATTGTCCCCAGGAAAGCGTGCCGCAAAGTGAGGACACACGGCAGCAGTGATGAGTCCTTCTTCCCCAACACTGGTTGCTTTTCTGGCTCTGGAGTTCCCGTGACAGAGCATATAATGAGATGTTACAGGGACACACACGTTTCTCTCCCCTTTAGAAGATACCCTCAGAGCCATAAACAGCTGCATCTTCAGGACTTGCCTGCCAATGCAGCACTGGACTCTGTGCATGCCCTGCTCTGCAATCCTGAGGATGCTGTTCATTTCTCCCACCTCCAGGCTGGGGCAGGGAAGGATCCCATGCAGGAGAGGAGGTACTCACTCTTTGTTTGAATTCAGTCTTCTCCTCCAAGGTCATGGTGTCAGCCTTGGCAATAACCGGGATGATGTTCACTACCTTGCTGAGATGTTTCATGAACTCCAGGTCCAAGGGCCGCAAGCTGCAGCCCAAGAGGGAACAACATGGAAGGAATCACTTTACCTTCCTCACCTCACATCCTAGTGACTCTCTCAGCACCAGGGCATCAGTGAAACCTCCTACCCTGCTTGCTGCCACCAGGCTCTTATCTCCTTCTGTCCATCCATCCTGCCCTCTCCCAGAAAACACAATGGTGTTTCTCCTGCCCTTGTTATCCTAGACCCTTTCAAGCCCCACAGCACCCAAAGCTAAGCTAAGCAGCGCCCAGGCCCTCAGGCAGGACGCCTGGGTCGGTGGCTGGGACAGAGCAGTGCAGGGTATATATCTGTCACAGAGGCACCGAGGGCTTGAGGAAGGACGAGGGACAGTGTACGTACGAGTGGCCCGTGGGGGAGATGAAGTAGAGGCAGCAGTGCACTCGCGTATCTGGAATTCGTTTCTTCCTTGCAATATTCACCTCCTCTTTCAAAAATTTTTCATATTGCTCATTGATGTATTTCTCAATAGGCTCCCAGCTGTTAAAGTAGGAAAGAGATATGAATAGACAGGTACAAATCTCCTCATGTTCCTGCCTACAGTGTTCCTGGCTCTGACAGCAGCAAAAGCAGGCCCAGGCATAAAAGATATACACCCCAAGCATCTCACCATCAGCAGAGATATTTAAGAGTTTCTGTAACTGGGCACAGAAATAGGCTCTCACTATGTAATGTGTGCATACCCCTAAGCAGGCACATAGACCCATGGTGTTCACAATTCCCCATCTCCATTACCAAGTGTAATAGGATCCCAGAAGCTTTCCAGGCCAAGTAGATGAGAGTCACTCCATACACCATCTTAACTCCAGCCCTGTCTGGGACACAAGGCCTCGACCACTTGAAACTCACCAGTTCTCATTGTTGATCTGGTCCCCAAATCCTGGTGTGTCAATCACTGTCAGCTTCATTTTGACACCACCTTCTTCAATGACTGTGGAAGAAATTTCAAACAATTATACACCTCCCCGGGGACGTGCTCTATCATGAAACATGCCTCTGTGCCCTACAAGGGAACAAGAGCATTCTGCCCTCATCCCTGCCCGGCAAGAATGACCAGGCCAGGCTCCATCACGCCTCAAAAATTTTGACTCTAACTTGCATTTCTGACCCCAAATTTTGGTAACCTTTGACCAAAAACCACCTTATACCACACTGCCACAGGAAAACAGATTTGTACCTTATACAACTTGGCCTCCCCTCCAACACATCATCCTGAATCTGAGATGACGCTCATAACACTTCACCACTGTAGAAGCTGTGCTGGTGCTTTGCCATGTGGAGATGTGCTCTACCAGGCTTGGGATGGGACCCACCAATGCAATTTGTAAAGATTATTAAGCATCTTCAGGTGGAAACAACTTAACAGCAAGGCTTAATCCACATATGCAGACTAATGTCTTGGCAGAAGAAGTATCTACACCTCTTTCTCTACCTCTCACTTAGGCTGTGGCCTTAAGAAAAGGCCTTGACTCTATCTGAAGCCATCTAAAAATGGCACTTCTCCTTTAGTTTCCCATGGAGAAAGGGCTGTCTAATATCAAAGAACTGTTTGCATAGACTACTGGGGTCTTCTAGAAGACTGTGATGAGGCATCAGTGTTGTCTCCACCCCAGTAGCCTGGCTCTTACCATGGCCGATGGCTTTGATCTCCACTGTCTTGGGAATCTTCTCCTCCCGATTCCAGCCTGAAGATTTGCGGCTCACCTGGGATTTGAAGAGGGTGTTCACCAAAGTTGATTTTCCAAGTCCGCTCTGACCTGAGGATTGCACAGAGGAAGCCCATGAGATCTGCCATAGCCCAGCAATGACAGCAGGCCCAGGGGATGGAGCCAGGCTGGCAGGGGATGGGGGTGTACGTGTCTCCTTGCTTTGTGCAGGCTCTCCTTTCCCCCAGAGCAAGCACCATCTGCTCCCTCATGCCCTCTCTGCAGGGCTCACTCTTGTACCTCATAGGAGAGCCCCAGGCCATGGTTCCCGGTACCTCAGCTGGTCTCTGCCTACCTACAACCATGATGTTGAAGTCGAATCCTGTCTTCATGGTTTTCTTGCGCATCTGCTCAATGATGGTGTCAATACCAATGTAGCCCAGCAGGTTGGCATTAATGCCCATGGGTTTCATTGGTACGACTGGTTTTTGTCGTGGCTCTGGGACCAGCTCAGACATGGCTGCTTCGTTTTTGCTCTCTACTGACCCTGCACAGGGAGAAAGATGGAAAAATCATCACTGAGGTACACGAAGGACCTCCTTGCTGACCTATCAGAGCTACGAGGATGATTAAGGGACTTGAACATCTCTCCTATGAATAGAGACTGAGAGAACTGGGGCTGTTTAGCCTTGAAAGGAGACAGCTGAGAAGGGACCTTATTAGCATACACAAATATCTGAGGGATGGGTGTCAAGGGGAAGGAGACAATCTCTTCTCAGTGGTGCCCAGTAATAGAACAAGTAATAATGGTTTTAGGCTGGGACATAGGAAGTTCCAGTTCAACATGAGGAAAAATTTCTTTACAGTGAGGGTGACAGAGCACTGGCACAGGCTGCCCAGAGAGGTTGTGGAGTCTCCTTCTCTGGAGACTTTCAAAACCCACCTGGACAGGTTCCTGTGTGGCTGCCCTAGGGCCTCCTGCTCTGGCAGGGGGGTTGGACTAGATGATCTCTAGAGGTTGCTTCCAACTCTGAACATTCTATGATTCTATGATTCTATCACAGAAGCTGAGGGCAACTTTGAGAATCCATTTCAAGGATTTACTAAGGATGACTGAACAAGATTTTAGCAGTAAGACTCTTCATGGAGAAACATCTACTTGAATTTCCAGCACACTCTTCTATGTATCACTCTATATGAGGAGGTGGAGAAATGGTGTTTGTTGAACATGCAAGTATTGATGGCTACCTCCAGACAGCAGGAGCAGACCCAGTGAAGCTGGCTGGCTCCTAATCGGGTGCCCAACGCTCTGTCTTCTCATTTTTGTCTCCCAGTAGTTCTCACCAGGTTCACTAGTGTTTTGCCCCTCCAAGTTTAGCATGCAATTTGCAATGGAATAGACTTTCAAAAATTATCACTTGTCAAGTCCTGGCATTGAAACAGAGTTTGGGATTTACTGTGAGAACTTGCAACCTTGGCTCTTGCCAGAGGCAGCTGCATTCCTGGCTGTGCTGTACAGCCTGAGTTCCTCAGATGAAGGCAGTGGTGGAGTTGCAAAACATGGCCACAACCTCTGTGCTTGCCTCCCACCCATAGATTGATGAGTTTTGTCATGCTTAAGAAACTAACCATCGTGGTCAATAAACTAATCATCTGCACCTTTCCCTTCTGGCCTCCTCCTCCTCACTACTTCCGGGTAAAACAAACAGGCGAAAAGAAAGTCCTTGTGGGCTTTCTGGCCTCTCTGACTTTTTTTCGGGTGATGGCACACGCTGCCCGGGGCAGGCCTCATCCATTTGTCTCCATCTCTTTTCTCATTAGAGAGCATCTCCCACCCACTGGGAGGAAGCTGAAGGTTAAGAGAGGACAGAGCACAGAAGAAAAGTTGTAATTGGTGAATGTAGAAAGGAAAATTAAGGGGATGGGAATCAAATATCTCTCATATATGAACCAGCTGCAAACTGGAGCCTCTCCCGCTCTAATTACTTGACTCCACCATGCTTTGTCTCATTAAATGGTTATTTTTCAGCGGCAGGGACAGCATGCGTATTTGCTTGGTAAGCACTCTGCTTGTTTTGGATGCCACTTCAGTCCAAACAACTCACAGTAAATTATCCCATTCCATCATTTCAGTGGATTTTTTCTCTCCTCTCAGCAGAACCTGCTGGTTGCACAGGAGGATGTGAGCAGCCAGGCAGACAACTGCCATTTGGTGGGTGACACATAACTCTTGGAGAAGAAGGCTGCTCAGAGGTTACCGGGCTGGGGACACTGATAGCACCAGTGCATGGTCCCCGTGACAGCTCAGCCAGGCCAGGCAGGGACTGGGGGTGGAAAGAGGTCAGAGAGATTTTGTTGAAGGACAAGCTAGAGGCTGCTGTAGGCTGCAATAGGCTGCAGTAGGCAGGGATGGCTGCTGACCCTGCCTAGCATTCCCATATTAAAGCTCCTGTGCAGACACAATGGCTGTTCTACACAGTGGACATTTTACGTTTTATATGAGCTTTAATATCCCACTCTCATTTGCTGAGGGAAGACCTTGCAGAAGGGCCGTGCTCGGCAGGGAGAAGGGTGCCTCTGCCCAGGTCCTTTTACATGACTTGGGAAGCCTTTTACGTTCAACTGGGAAATGGGTTCTTCCCACCATGTGAGATGATGGTAGCACAGCTACCCATGCACAGCACTGCGGGTGACATCTAAAGGTTCTTCTACCACCTCCATTCCACCTTGCCTGCAGAGGAGAGGTCTGCTGGAGGATGCCCCCCCCACCACTCCTGCTCTTCCCCACTGAGTAAGGGCACTCTGAGCTATCATCATCCTCTCCTGAAGCAGTGAGCAGCACCCTGGGGGCACCAGAGCACAAGATGGACCATTGGCTTGAGCCAAACTGGCAATTCGGAGCACCTCATGCTGCCGGGCAGCTGCTGGAGAAGGCAGCCTGCCGAGCCGAGTGCTTCTCAGCTTCGATCTGCTCTTACACCTGTCACAGCTAGTCTGTGCCTTCTCTGCTGACAGAGCAACCCCTGGGGCTCCTCTTCTCTTCTTCCAGCTTTCTCAAAGCTGCTGCCAATCAGGAAAGCCCATCTCTCCGGCGCAGCACAGGGGGCCAAGCCTCTTGCCTTTCCTGCACCCTGCCCTTCGCTCATCCTTTCCCAGGCTGCCCCACACCACTTTGACCATAATTGTGTGGCTGTGCCGTGCCCCTCATCCTGCTGCAGCATCCTCCAGTGCGCACCCCACACAGTCCTGCTGGGCTCTCACCTGCCCCAAAGGGAGGAAGAAGAGAGAGAGAGACAAGGAATGATGAGGAGAGATGGGGCAGAGTGCTGTGGCCCCCAGAAAGGCACTTGGCTACTGCAGTAATGGGGTCAAATGAACCCCAGAGGTGAACAGGGAAGAGGTCGAGATTGGGAGGAAAGCCCAGGTGAGCAGCTGCATGGGATGTGTGCAGGACCCGGGCCACGCGGGCTGTGACCCTCTTGCTGCCCAGGCAGTAGCTTGTCCTCAGGGAGTCTGTTGCCCTCTCCAGTATTCCTTCAACTCTGTTCTTACACAAGGAGGAGGAAGGAGGGAAGTTGCTGGCAGCCAACCTCAGGGCTCACTAAGGGGTTCATAACTCATCCCCCAGTCTCACCAAGGGACGTTTTTCCCAGAGCCAGCAGATGTTTCTAACTCTGCTATGGACATCACAGTATGTGGCCATCGCTTTGCAGGCTTCACTGCTGGAGCCAGGAGCTTGCAGTGGCTTGAGCAGATATTTCAGAGTCAAGTTCCAGAGCACCTATAAAAAGCCTTAAGGCCAGGAGAAAAGATCTCCATAAGTCCCTTTGAGTATTTCCTGGGGTTTAGATCGGTGATGTCACCCTGGGCATTTTGATTTTGGACATTCAAGATCTTGGGGTAGGCAACCTCCCTTTCTCCTCTCAGTCACCTGCTTCCCTCCCTCCGTGGGGTGCCTTCCCATAGCCTCAGAAAGAGAAACTCCCATTTTGCAGAGAGGTACCTGAGGGCTCTGCACACAGTTTTCCACCTCTTGTCTCCCACAGAGGAATCTGAGGAGCCAGCCGAGGAAAAGCCTACTGAGACAGTCAGGGTGTGCAAAACCAAGGCCAGAGCTATGAGAGACACCTTGAGACGTGAAACGCCCTGGGAATGGCTCCGTTTTCCATGCAGTAATGCTAACGCTGCTAGGAAGCCTCATTAGCGTTCTGAGTGACTGGTCAAGGGGTAGCATTATGCAGCCCAGGCACATCCTGTAGTCCTTCCAGCTGTCTCCTGGAATGAATACATGGTAGGGCACTACAGCCAGTACAGCTGATCATGAATAGAGGGTTAGCCAAGGTTAACCACTCACATCCGCTCTTTGCATTGCCACCCTTTTCCCTGCTGCTTTATCCTGTGTGCTGAGTGAAGCTCATTTAAGGGAGCCCTTGCTGGTGATACCTCTGCTGCCTGGTTCCCATGGGAGCTGACCTGGGCTGGGCTGCCAGAGGATAATCTCTGGCTCACAGGAGATGCTCCAGCTCAGCTCCGGAGCAGGAAGAGGTACAACATCTGGGACCAGGACAGCGGTTCCAGCTACCTTCCAATTCTGCCACCCATCGACCCACCACAAAACCTCTCCTTGGAAGGCCAGCATACACCAATACCACAGCACACCCTTCATGTCCGCCTGCCTCTGCCATTTGCAGGAGCTAGCTGGGGACAGAGGTGGCCCTGCAGGTCCCTTAGGGGCTCAGGTAGCCAGGACTAACATCTACTCTGTCCCCATAACCCAGATACAGTCGCATCCCCTCCCCCTGCCTTCCAGTCCTTTGTCTGAGTGGCAAGAGGGAGGGAGGGAGGGCTGCAAACAGTTGCTCACCACAACCCAGCTTCTAGGAAAGAGAGGCTATTTAACCCCCACATATCACAGGGACGGCCTGGCTGTAGCTCTCTTCCCATGTGGCACAAGGCTGTCCCTCTCCAGCTGGGATCCACACACGTGTCTCACCGCAGGCCCTTCCACCCTGTGGCCCTGGAGGCACGGTCCCACACCCCACAGCACAAAACAGGGAGGAGGGATGGGTTCAGAGCCTGAAGGCAGCAGGCAGGAGCGAGGCCCTGGCGGGTGATGCCAGGTCCCTGGGAAGGAAAGCAAGAAGCTGCTTCAGTAGCACAGCTTCCCTGGGGCTTGCAGTCATTGGGATCTGCTCCTTGCTTCAGATCTGCAAAGATGCTGGACTGAGCATCTCTCTCCTAGAAAAATCCCTTTCCCTGCCTCAGTTCCCATGATGACCCCAGGGCATTTCTCCCAGCTCTGCAGGGCAAAGGCTAAGCCATGCCGGATGCACAGCCTGACCTTAGGGTGCAGAACAGAGACATTTCTCTTATCCAATCTTTTTGCCTGCCCTGAGGATCACTGGGCATTTCAAGTGAGGCGGGGAAATTCGTCCCAGCCCTTTGGGCTGCCGTAGCCTTCCCAGCAGCAACCTTCATTCCCCTCAGTGCTCTGCAGAGGGCTTGGGCAGGAGCCTGGCTCTGCTGGGGCTGCAGTAAAATCTAGGGCAGCGTGTGCCGAAACCTCTCTGGAGATGCAGGAACTGGAGGTGAAGGGATTGAGCATAACCCCACCCCAGTTGCTGCAGGGTTAGATGCTCGCCTCAGCCTTGGCCGAACCCTCAGTGCCGCTCCCCGGCCGTGCAGTCCTTACCCCATATCCCAGCTCTATGCCTGGGCAGCACTGCTCTATTACAAGGCAAGAGGATGCTGAGCAGCCCTGGGCCAGGGTGCCCATGCCATCACAGCTGCCTTTTCACCTGCCCATGGGTGCTGGGGTTCCTCACCCACCTGCCAGCTTCTGCGCAGATGCCCAGGGAATGGCACAGGACACCCCCACTGCCCCCGCAAAGATTGCCTGTCCCTGGCAAGAGACAAGCCAGTCACCCAGCAGTTTGTGGGCTTTCCCCAGCCCCGGACCCGCTGAGATTATCTCTTTCTTTCAGAGCAGCCCCTGGCACCAGCTACTCCCCATCAGCCCAGCAACCAGCTCTGCTTGTTCTCCTTCATGCTAGACTGCTGCCACCAAAAGGGAGGAAAAAAATAAGAGGAAAGACAAAGCCAGGACTGATTTCTCTCGATACCCTTCGGGGTTATTCCTCTGCCGTGGCCAGGGGGCACAGAGGAGGTTGTCTGCACAAAAATCCCCAGCTGCATCCCTCCGGCGTCGCCCATCCCTGCCCAGCGCAGAGCATCCTACCTTTGAACATGAAGCTTCCTTTGTCTCCGAATTCTCTCCCAAGGGGGTGGGTCTTTCCCCACTTTTCTACCCTGCCGCTGGCGCAGCACAATGGGCTATAAGTCTCCGCTTTTAGCTCTCTCTTCCTCCCCTGTGTCTTCCTCTCCTACCCCTCTCCTTCCCCTCCTTCTCCAGTGGCTATTTCAGCCGAGTGGGGATGCTGGTGCTGCTCCTGCTGCCATCGTCATGTGACCTGAATATTAAACATCTCCGCAAAATCTCCCCCCGCGCACCCTCCCCCGGCTCCAACCCAAGCCCCCGGCTCCATCCCTGGCCCCCGTCAGCATCCCCGCCTGGGGGGGTATGGCCACGGGGGCAGAGGGGCTGCTGCCAAGGGGCCCCCCTGTGTAACAGAGGGGGAGTCCTTGCACACCCACACTGCACAGGCCTTTTCTTGCCCCTGTCCCTCCTGATTCCTCAGTGTTTTCAGCATCTCTCCTTATTTAGGGAGGGAGATATTTAACCCTCGGCAGCTTTGCTACAGTGGGGCTGAGAAAGGATGTCCCTAGGTATTTTTGGGGGGGTTCAAGGGATTGCAAGGCCTCCTTCTGCTTTCTCAGAGGGAGGACACTGGGAATGTTTTGGCTCATCAAAAGTGACTTGCCCTTCAGGTCCACTTGCGGAGGCATTAGAAACCTTTTCTCCTCTGGCAGGGTGATTCCTGGCTGTCAGCCCGTAGTGTGAGGCAGAGCAAGCACGGTCCCCACGGTGTACATGTGTGTATACATGTCTGCACGCATGTGCATGCATGTGCGTGTGTGTGGAGAGTGGGGAGAGGTGCTGCCTGGGGTCAGTTTTGGGGTACTCAGATCCCATCTCCATGCTCCCTGGCAGGCATATGTGCCCAGCAGTGCCCACCTGCTTGTTCCTGGTGGACATGTCCCACACCTGGAGAGCTGTATGGGTGCCCCTGTCTGCTAGCATATTTGGAGGGGGATGCCCCTTCCTTCCTCTGTGTTTCCTTCTCCTATGTTTGCAAGCCCCAGCCCCATCAGGCACTGTGCCATGCTGGGTCACGAACATCTGGGACGGCTCTGACTCCACTTGGTGTGACAATGGGATCATCCTTTCAGGGATATCCCCGTGTGTCCCTCCACCATGCGGCAGCCCCCTGGGTGGGTGAGGGCTGAGCGTCAGGACACCTGGCAGACTCAGCAAGGGTTTTGGGTGCTTCTTGCTTGCAGTGCTGGGGGCAAAAAGGAAACCGCACCCGCTGTGAGGTATGAGAGCCTTTAGAAAACACTATGGGTGGTTACCCAGGCTATGCTGACAGGTCGACTAATTGACCTCCAGACAGATGGACAGACAGACGGGCATCCTGGCATCTGCAACATCCCCTG